CATGAACTTTTTGAAGTCCCCTTGAATATACTTTAAAAATAACGCCTTTTTAAACCATGAACTTTTTGAAGTCCCCTTGAATATACTTTAAAAATAACACCTATTGTGTTGAGTGTCATCTGCAATTTCAGGCATTCCCTGGGGGTCCCCTGGAGATGGGGGGTCTACTATATTGTAACTCAACACATTTCAGATTAGAGGAAGAAATTGTTATGTGATAAAGAGAAACCATTGGCTGCACGTAAACACTGAATTGAAGAGTCTCTGTGTCACCCACGAAGAGGTTTCTTCCAAAACCCTGTGGTCAGCCTACCTGTGAGAGTGGCACATGGGCACCTGTGGTCAGCCTGCCTGTGAGAGTGGCACATGGGCAATGGGAATGGGCACGCGGAGGGAGGCTGCCCTCTGCCAGCTCTGTTAAGACAGGAGAAAGAAAGCAGAAACAGTAATACTGCCCCTCCCCACACACGGGAGGGACCAGACAGGAAAAGGTGCTGGGTCATTCAGCCAGTGAGGAAAGTCAGATCACTTTGTCCTTGTAAATTGAGGCTTGAAAAAAAAAAAAACCTAACTGCCAAAGGTATCACCGAAGCTTTCAGAAGAAAGTAACTGACAGTAAAGGGACTCCCGCCACCATATTGGGCGTCCCCAGGAAGGGACTCTGCAGGGGGCTGGGGCCAAGGACACAGGGAGATTGTTAACTGTGGGGAAGACCTGCCACCCTACAGTTTTGTGTGAACAGTGTAAACTTTAAAAACCTAAATGTGTGGATGTGGATAATCGTGCTCTGGTTACGTGATATGTACAGGAGTTAAAATGAATGAACTGAAAAAAGCTATGACCGCCTATAGGAGGAAATCTCAAGAAAAAAATTAGTCAGAAAATTGTGCCAGGTCATACCCAGAATAGCATTCCTCACAGCAGTTACCAGGTTTGCAACGATGTCATTACATTTCATTTGTGGAGACGTAGGCGTAAATAATGTGGAAGTGCTAAGTGACCCATTCTGGGTATCAGAGAAGACCGGAGGCAAATACAGCGAAACAGTAGGATTTGAGAAACCTGGGTGATGGGTAAATGGGTGTTCATATGTTTCTCCTTAACTCTTCAGTGTTTGAATTGTGTTGTAATACAGGTTGGGTATTCCTCATCCGAAATGCTTGGGATCAGAAGGATCTTTGACGTGGGACTATTTGATATGAGACATGCGATAACTTAAGGAGGGGGCCCAGGTGTAGAGACAAGTTCGTCTGTATTTCACGCGCCGCTCGTACATGTAGCCGGAAGGTAACTTTGTGCAGTGTTTTTAGTGTGCCTGTGTTAGACTACTATCACATGAGATCCAGTAGGAAATCTACTTTGGCATTGGGTTGATGCTCATAATTTCAGGCTTGGGAGCATTTTGGATTTTCGGGTAAGGGGTGCTCAATCCATATTATTGAAAATAGCACTGAGGCAGCCATACCTGTTAGTCTGTCTTCGTCACCATTGCATTTTAGCTGTTGCTCCTTGGTAAGTCACCTGATGCCCAGGAAAAGGACGTGGAAGCTGTTCTCTTGGATCACCCCTCCCCATGGCTTCAGTGGAGGTCCACATGTGATTTATGGTGGAGCAGCTGGGTAGAGAGGAGACCGAACCCCAGGGGTGCTGTTGGGGTCTTTGCCTAAAGCCTACCCAGATCCCAACTGCTAAATTGGACTTGACTGGCTTGCTCAGCCGTGTGACTTAGCAGGTGTACTCCATGTCTAAAGAATTTGGCACTTTCACTACTCCTATTCCCAAATTCTAAAAGCAGAAGAAAAGCTGTTGTTTTGGGATCCTGCAGGTAGGCAATGAGTTGAGCCTGCCAAGTCTGGGAGTGCCCCAGCCTCTGTGTGATCTCCTGCCTCCTGCTCTCCAGGGCCCTATTTGCCCCATACTCAGTGCGTACTCAGAATAGTGAATCAGAGTGCCTTTTGCACAGAAGTTGCTGGAGTTGATGCAAGTGAGATTCCTTGTGGTGAGGCTGTAGAGGGTATGAGCAGGCACCCCTCTGGCTTAATTCCTTGCGTTCCTGGGCATGGTCCTGGGTGAAAGCCCCGGGGCCTCTTGCCACAGTGTGGATTTCAGAGCAGAGAGCATCTTTGGGAGGCATCCCTGCTTTATCTCTCGTGTAAGTCGGGGAGCTCCCTGGTGATGTGTCTGCCCTGCCACGCCAGCCCTGCTGAGCAGCAGAGAGCTAGCTGGTTTTCATTTTGACTTCTCTGCTCTCTGTGGTCACACTGCCTGAGCTGTGAATGTCTCTGTGTGTTAGCGCTTAAGAGTAGGGCTTTTCATTTTGCTGTGAAAGATTTCTTTTACCCAAGTCTAACTCGGGAATTAGTGGTGAGTATGTAATTTCTTTTTAAAGCAACTCATTCTGCAGAAGTTGGGAAGCCACATCGGTGCTGCTCTAAAACATACATTTGTACGTGCTGTGGAAGAAAATAGTCTCCCCAAGTTTGCCTTGCTCGTTCCTGTGCTCCCCGCCGAGAATGCATTTTTGTATGCCATGTTTGCCTGCGTGGAGTGAGATTAAAGGCTGAGTTTCCAGCCCTGGCCTCCCGGCTGGAGTTTCAAACGTTGGAAACCACGAGGCTGCACAGAACTCCATAGTCCTCGGTGGCAAACAGGCCCTGCCTTGTGGATGGCTGTTGACTGGTCAGGGTCTGGAGATTGCCCAGTGCCAGCTACAGCTGCCCAGGGACCACCCCTCCAAGCACGTGGTTGTTGGGAAACCCTTTGTGGGTACAGAGCCTCAACCAGGGTGCCTGGCCAGGAAAGGGCAGGTATTTTAGAGGTTTGTTTTTGTTTTTTGTCAGATGAATAGGATGAGTAGGGTGAGTATAATATGGTTTTTGTCCTGAACGCTTCCTTGATGGCAAGGTTCTCAGAGGTCCCCGTGTGACGTGGAGTGGCTCCGTGTGGTTCCCTGCCCTCCTCCCTATAGGGCCACCACAAAACACAGCAAACACCGGAGGTAAAGGGAAGGCTTTTTGTCGGGTGGGGGAAACCCGACAGGCTGGAGGGAGAGGGCGAGAGAGAGAGAACACGTGTGTGGGGAAGCAGGTCCTATTAGACTCTTGCAGAGGGGTAGGGACGTGGGAGCCGCGAGTCCCACTAGGGTGGGGGTGGAGCAGACTTGTGGTTGGGCCATTAGGTCACCTGACTTCAGCAAGCTAGACTGGGTTCTGGAGAGGCCAAGCTTTGTGTACAGGGGGGTGGCTGGGCCAGAGCCTAAAACGGTGTCTGGGCCTTGAGATGGCGCTTTTAGATAAGATGGCACCGTTCGGCTAACTCTCCCCACTGGATCAGTCCAAGGCTAAGTAGGTGAATTCCCCCTTCAGCACCTCGGCTTGGGCTCAGCCTTTGCGTGAGGGTCACACCCATGGCCACCCAGGGCCAGGGGTCAGAATGTAAATGCCACCTGGCGTGGCATCCAGAGGCCTCCGTGCCTTCGTCGGGCTTCATTTGCAGTGGTGACAGCCAGAATGGATGGCGGGACCTCGGCCCCGCCCATGCCAGAGAGGCATCTGGGCAAAGTGAAGGGCATAGCCGCAGCCGATGGGGTGATGCTGCACAGCACAGGCTGGGAAGTTAGTCTAGAGCACATTACACCCTCTTGCCACAAGGGTTTTACTTCTTAGAAAGGTGTGGTGAGAGCCTGTGGTGGGTGTGCGATGGGAGTGATCTCTTCTTGGAACAGAATGCCCACTGAAACAGGCTCATTTCTCATTCACACCTACAGAGTGCCCTGAGGTCAAGTCTGGGATTCCTGGGTTGTTGAGGACTCCCCCGCCCCTGGCTTTTCCAGGCTGGTTCATACTTGGCATCATGCATATTTGAGAGAACAGCATTTCATTTATAATAAGATCTGAATATTTGGAACTCTTAAAGAAAGAGGAGTGGGAATCTCAATGTCTGTGCCACCAACCAGCTGCGACTCGCCTACCCCAGCACCTGGAAACCCACCCCCCCTTGGCTCATTCAGATCCCTGCAGACCCTGTTTGTGTCTCACTGCAGTCCAGGGGCCTGGGACGGGTGATGGCACCCACAATAGTTGAGTGTATCCAAATAATTAAGTCTCATGGAGTTCCCAGTGAAGTAGAAGTAGCCTGTGCCTCCAGCATGGAAGGTGTGGACCGAATGCCTCTGCCGCTGTGCACTTTGCAAGCAGAGTGGTTTGTAAGGTGTTGTCCAGCGTAGGGCCTAGTGACTGAAAATCTCCACCTGGCTTGTTTCCTAGCATGCAGATCACGGCTCCATGACTTCAGGAGCTAATGCTGGCCAAAGCGATGTGCGTGAGCTTTCAGGGTTGGAATGCATAGGTTTTTTTCTCTGACTCCAGGTAGCTGTGTTTATCGGTGCTGGGAAGAGGGGAGGCAACGTAGAAGAGATGGCACGCGCACCAGGGTTCTGCTGCCAGAGCACGTGGCTGAAAGTGCAGGCATGTTTGGTGTGGCCCACTTGGTGTTTTTTGAATGAATTGATTTCACATTGAGAGAAGAAACGGAAAAGATTTCTGGCCCGATGTGAAAACTCAGACCTCTCAACTTGGTGCTCACATTTCTGTGGTGGTCAGCTAAGACAGAGGGCTCCTACTGCCCATTTTAGGTGGGGCATTTTGTCCACCCATCCGTGCACACACACACAAACCCACTCCCACTCCATTGTCTCACACCTTGCTTGTGCGTTGCGCTTTCGTGTGTCTTTGAGCCTTACGGTGGGGCTGTCTTGTGCTACATCTTGTCTGAGCATTGTGTACTCAACGTGTAGACCTGCCCACTAACAGGGACTGTTCCTGTCGTGCCCAGCCACTGCTCACTTTAAATGGGGCAGGCGAGAACGTGTGGCCTCAAAGCTTGCCTGAGTGTGTCTCTTCTCATGACCCCTTAAGTTTGGTGGCCGGGGCAGGGGTGGAAACTATCAAATGCCTCAGTTTCTACAAAAAAAAAAAATAATCTCCCTGTGTGTTTGGCAGGTGAAAGGAAAGCCAGCCAGGATGGATATTTACGACACTCAGACCTTGGGGGTTGTGGTCTTTGGCGGGTTCATGGTGGTTTCCGCCATCGGCATCTTCCTGGTGTCCACCTTCTCCATGAAGGAGACGTCATATGAAGAAGCCCTCGCCAACCAGCGCAAAGAGATGGCGAAAACTCACCACCAGAAAGTAGAGAAGAAAAAGAAAGAGAAGACAGTGGAAAAGAAAGGAAAGACCAAGAAAAAGGAAGAGAAACCCAATGGGAAGATCCCGGACCATGAACTGGGCCCCAACGTGACCATTCTCCTCAAAGACCCAGTGCGGGCACCTGCTATGGCTGTGGCCCCAACCCCAGTCCAGTCCCCTGTGGTCATTGCTCCTGTAGCCACCGTAACAGCCATGCCCCAAGAGAAGCCAGCCTCCTCCCCTAAGGACAAAAAGAAGAAGGAGAAAAAAGTAGCAAAGGTGGAACCAGCAGTCAGTTCTGTAGTGAATTCCGTCCAGGTTCTCACCTCCAAGGCTGCCATCTTGGAAGCCGCTCCTAAGGAGGTGCCTATGGTTGTTGTGCCCCCTGTGGGTGCCAAGGCCAGTGCCCCAGGCACTGGCACTGCCCAGGGCAAGAAGGCAGAGGGTGCCCAGAGCCAGGGCAAAAAGGGGGAGGGAACCCCAAACCAAGGGAAAAAGGGGGATGGAGCTCAGAACCAGGGCAAGAAAGGGGAGGGGGCCCCAAACCAGGGCAAGAAGGGGGAAGGGGCCCAAAACCAAGGTAAGAAGGGGGAGGGAACCCCAAACCAGGGTAAGAAGGGGGAGGGTGCCCCAAACCAGAGCAAGAAGGGGGAGGGAACCCCAAACCAGGGCAAGAAGACTGAGGGGTCCCCAAACCAGGGCAAGAAGGCAGAAGGGTCCCCAAACCAGGGTAAGATGGCAGAAGGAACACTAACCCAGGGTAAAAAGGCTGAGGGGGCCCCAAATCAAGGCAAGAAGGCAGAGGGGGCCCAGAACCAGAGTAAGAAGGGAGAAGGGGCCCAGAACCAGGGTAAGAAGACAGAGGGGGCCCAGAACCAGGGTAAGAAGGGAGAGGGGGCCCAGAACCAGGGTAAGAAGGGAGAGGGGGCCCAGAACCAGGGTAAGAAGGGGGAGGGGGCCCAGAACCAGGGTAAGAACGCAGAGGGGGCCCAGAACCAGGGTAAGAAGGCAGAGGGGCCCCAGAACCAGGGTAAGAAGGGAGAAGGAGCCCAGAACCAAGGTAAGAAGGGGGAGGGGGCCCAGAACCAGGGTAAGAAGGGAGATGGGGCCCAGAACCAGAGTAAGAAGGGAGAGGGGGCCCAGAACCAGGGTAAGAAGACAGAGGGGACCCAGAACCAGGGTAAGAAGGGAGATGGGGCCCAGAACCAGGGTAAGAAGACAGAGGGGACTCAGAACCAGGGTAAGAAGGGAGATGGGGCCCAGAACCAGGGTAAGAAGGGAGATGGGGCCCAGAACCAGGGTAAGAAGGCAGAGGGAAGCCCAAACCAGGGCAAAAAAGCAGAAGGGGCTCCCAACCAGAGCAAAAAAGGGGAAGGGGCTCCCAACCAGGGCAAAAATGTAGAGGGAACTCCAAACCAGGGCAAGAAGGCAGAGGGGACCCAGAACCAGGGCAAAAGGGGGGAGGGGGCCCAGAACCAGGGCAAGAAGGGGGAGGGGGCCCAGAATCAAGGCAAAAAGGGGGAGGGGGCTCCTAACCAGAGCAAAAAGGCAGATTCTGTTGCTAATCAGGGCACAAAGGCAGAGACGAACCAGGGGAAAAAGGCAGAGGGGGCCCCCAATCAAGGCAAAAAGTCAGAGGGAACCCCCAACCAGGGCAAAAAGGCAGAAGGGTCTCCCAACCAGGGCAAAAAGGGGGATGGGGCTGCCAATCAAGGTAAAAAGACAGAGTCAGCTCCTATCCAAGGCAAAAATACAGACGTAGTCCAGAGCCAAGAGGCACCAAAGCAAGAGGCGCCTGCAAAGAAGAAGTCTGGTTCAAAGAAAAAAGGTGAGCCTGGTAAGTGACTGGTTTCTTTGTGAACTTGGAGGGAAAAGCTATCTTTAAATGGATTGTGGATTTCCTTTTGGGGTGTTGTCTGTACCAGTCAGGTGCTGCCTCAGCAAGGCTGCATGACAAACACTGCAAAGTCGGTAGCCTGCGCTGGCAAGTGTTGATCCTAGTGCTTCTGTGCGTGGCTGGCCTGCTGATCCTGGACTGTCTGAAGGTCTGATCCAACTGGGTTGGCTCCTCACTTGCACTTGTGCGCCTGTGATTACCCAGGACCTAACCTGAGGCTACAGAGACTCATGGGGGTGCTTCAGGCAGGTGCGTTTCACTCCAGCAGCCCATTGGCCAGGGCAGGTCACGCAACAGCCGGCCTGCTTCCAGAGGCTGGGAGTCTACCATGGCTGAGTGAGAGGGACTGCTGAGTGACATGGGACAGGGACTGTGAGGCTAGCAGAGTATCTGTACAGGAGGGGCTTTCGGCACATCTGTCTTGAATGTCAACCTTTTGAGTGTTCTTACCTGGTGCTGTGGTGTAGACTGACCGTTTGTTTGTGCTTGTTTAGTGAATAACCGCTGGAGGCTGTTTCCAAGGAGCAATTGTGACCCTCTATGCTGTCTGTCTTCCCTCCTCCCTGCTGCCACCCGTCTCATGAAGCATTGCAGATGTTAATGTAGGTACATGGCACTTCCAAACCTTCAGGCAGAGTGCCAGTAAAACGTATCTTGGTGCAAAAAATTTCAGAAATCTATGTGTAGTTTTTTCATAATAGCATTTCAATGAACTTTTTGGAGAATGCTCATATGCACGGATTTCAAAATTTTTTTTGCACCAAAATAAACTTACCTTTTAATTCTATTTGCTGTGAAATTCTGAAAGTACCTTTGTATTATATCAGCTAGACGTTAAATAACACAGAGCCTTGATTTGCCATTATGTTTTAAGTGCATGTTACAATAGAATTTAGCCCAGGGAATTTTCTTTCGTGTTCCATCATTCATTTGAGTGCACTTATTTTTTTTTTAATTTTTAATTTTAACTCTGAATAACCATTGGCCAGTCTGGAGCCTCTTAGGGATTCGACAGTGTTGGCTGGCGCAGGGCCCTGTGACGTTAGCCGAGCTTCCCTAGCTTGCCCTCTGTTGAACCATGTTACTTTTTCTCAGATTCCTCCTCCCCTGAATCCACCCCCGATTTTTGATGGGACATTTGCTTAGACAGCAGCCTGCTCCACATAAGGGGACCCAACCCAGGTGAGCCGCTATGGGCTCCCAGGAATCAGTGACCAGGCAGGGTCACTTCGCCCCAGCGAAGGTGTCTGAGGTTGTGGTCCACTGGCACACTGCTCTCTCTCTAACCAGCTGGACCCGAGACAGTGATGGGCCTGAGAGCCGGCTGGTACCCGAGTCTCCCACCTCAAGTGTGTCCAGCGCTCCCTGTGTCTGGTGGTCAGCGTTGCCTCGGGTGATTTTCCACATTGGAAATGAGACATGTGACAGACGTGGGATGAGAATATTGGAAAGGAAAGTGAAATTGACCCAATAAAGAAACTGCTTAGAAATGCCACCTCCATGGGACCAGGCAACTTGCTAGAGGTGTTAAAAGAGAAAGTGTAAGGCAAGCAGATAAGCACCCCATTGCAGAGTTCAGATGATGAAATACAGGTTACCATTCCCAGCTTAGCCTAGTGGTCTACTCTTGTTCCAACCAAACTTCCAGTGGGATCCCCTCCACCCCCCCAACTTGACAAAACTACTCTAAAAGTGCCATCTGTAGTAAGAACTTTGAGGTGGTGTTTTAAAGTGGCTGGAAAGCCAGCCCTACCTGGTGTGTGACCATGTTCCCAGCTGTTGTGATTACAAGTGACGAGATAGAAAGCTCTGGAATAGACTGTGTTGGCCCCAAGGACTTAAGGGTGAGAAGCATGGTACTTCCATAGGGAAAGAGAGTTCCCCCAAGGATCCTGGGCAGTGTGCTCATCATCTGGAGCACCTGCTTAGAGCCCCAAGCATTCACCTCTGTCTCAGAATGTGAGGCTGGCAGGAAACGCATTTAGGTTTCTTTTTTTTCTTTTCTTTTCTTTCTTTCTTTTTTTTTTTTTTTTTAGATTTACTTTATTTATTTGAAAAACAGTTACAGAGAGAGGTGAAGACAAAGAGAGAGGTCTTCCATCCGCTGGTTCACTCTCCAGATGGCTGCAACAGCTGGAGCTGAGCCGATCCGAAATCAGGAACCAGGAGCTTCTTCTTGGTCTCCCACATGGGTGCAGGAACCCAAGGACTTAGGCCGTCTTCTGCTGCTTTCCCAGGCCATAGCAGAGAGCTGGATCGAAGAGGAGCAGCCGGGACTTGAACTGGTGCCCATGTGGGATGCCGGCGCTTCAGGCCAGGGCTTTAACCTGCTGCGCCACAGCGCCAGCCCCAAAACACATTTAGGTTTAAGTATCTGTCAGCCAGATGGTAGAAGAAGGTCACTCAGAGGCTGCAGTCAACAGAGACCATTGTGGGTGGGGGAACCTAACCACCCTGCCAGCCCCAGGGGACTTGGGGACCCAAATGAAGAGCCAAAGGTGTGGGCAGTGCGTGCGGCAGGTGTGACACCTGAGCAGCGGATTTCACCAGTGTGTATCAAAGTCTGTGAGCATGGGAAGAGTACTCTCGTACTCTCTCGTTTTCCTACCTTGGCACCGCGCAGCTGCAGCCCTGTTTTCCCATGGCTGATGTGTGAAGGCGTCTTCCAGGCTCACTGTGGTGGTCGTAGGCCACCCACAGCCCCATAAAGATCTCAGAGATTACTCTGTTTCAGTGCTTCTCCAACTTCGACATACAGGTTAATCCCTTAGGAATGTGTTAAGATAAAGATTCTGGGGCTGGCACTGTGATGCAGCAGGTTAACGCCCTGGCCTGAAGCACTGGCATCCCCTCTGGGCACTGGTTCTATTCACGGCTGCTCCTCTTCCAATTCAGCTCTCTGCTATGGCCTGGGAAAGTGGAAGAGGATGGCCCCAAGTCCTTGGGCCCCTACACCCGGGTGGAAGACCTGGAGGAAGCTCCTAGCTCCTGGCTTTGTACTGGCTCAGCTCCGGCCATTGCAGCCATCTGGGGAGTGGACCAGCATATGGAAGACCTCTCTCTCTATCTCTCTCTGTAACTCTGTCTTTCAAATAAATAAAATAAATCTTCAAAAAAAAAATAGATAAATTCTGACTCTGCAGATTTAGCTGGGCCTGAGGTTCTGCATTCTAACCATCTGCCAGGGCATTCTGATGTTGCTGGTCCCAGGGTATGGACCTTGGAGACATTTTCCTAAAACCAGCAAACCATTCCAGAAATTCTTGTGAAAACAAATAAGCCTTATTAAACATGGTTAGTGTACACAAAACCATGAACTTGATGGAAAGTGGCATCACGTTCAGCGATGTGACCCTTTTGAAAAGCAGTTTTGCAGGCTGTGGAAAGAGCCTGGAAGGGGCTGGTGGTGGTCCTTTGACTCTCGAAGTGCTCTCTGGACACATGGTGCCCACCGAGTCAGTAGGCCTTGGCTTAGCAGCCATGCTGTCAGGGGGACCCAGTGCGCCTGCCCCACCAGGCACCATGCAACCCCTGGCAGAGATGGTTGAGAAGCTGCCGCCACAGTGTGCAGAGACGTGGGTACCGGGTGATTTTTCAGTTGGAAAAAAGGAAGATAACCCGATGCTCCACATGCTGTGGAAGCCTAAGATCGTAAGTGAGCGGTGGCAATTGAGACAGGAACCTCAGGACATAGGCACTGCTCACTGTCCACGTGCAGTGGATACCAAAACCCCACAGCTGCTCAGGTCCCTCCAAAGAATTGTGGCACGGTATTTGTACACTGTCCCGTTTGCCTTCAACCATGACTAAGCCATTGCTACGCTGGGTCGATCAGGGAAAAAGAGCAGGGCTGTCGGCCTGCAGTAGAGATGCAGTTTTTTTCTCGAATATTTCCGACCCTGGGTTGAGGGACTCTGGCTGTGGAACCGACAGACAGAGGCCAACGGGCCCGCAGTGACCGTGGCAGTTGTATTTTTCTTCAGGGTGCTAACAGTTTGTCCTTCAAAAGTCAAAAAGCAGTCCTGAAGAAGGCCCTGTATCTTGTGGCTACAACAGTGCCCCCTGGAGTTGGCAGTGCCTGTTAAGGCCTGAGTGCTTTTTGGCGCAGCAAAGCTATGGGCAGGAGTCTTGGCAAGCTGTTGGTGTAGATAATTTTGTATTAAAACCCTTCTTGGCCAGCGCCGGGGCTCACTGGGCTAATCCTCCGCCTGCGGTGCCGGCACCCCGAGTTCTAGTCCTGGTTGGGGCACCGGATTCTATCCCGGTTGCTCCTCTTCAAGTCCAGCTCTCTGCTGTGGCCCAGGAGTGCAGTGGAGGATGGCCCAAGTGCCTGGGCCCTGCACCCGCATGGGAGACCAGGAGGAAGCACCTAGTTTCTGGCTTCAGATCGGTGCAGTGTGCTGGCCACTGCAGCCATTTTGGGGATGAACCAACGGAAGGAAGATCTTTGTCTCTCTCTCTCTCACTGTCTAACTCTGCCTGTCAAAAAAAAAAACAAACAAACAAACAAACAAACAAAAAAAAAAACCTTCTTATGTAATGACCTTTAAAAGTTATTTTTAGGGCTGTACAGCTGGATCCTAACATATTATTTAAATGCTGTAGTCATCATTCCAGAAAATAAAGCAATAATGACACTTCCAGCCCAGAGATTCCTAGAGGGCAGGAGCCCATGAGGCTCCCCGGATGTAGCTCAGTGTGTCAGTCTTTGCTAGGAAGGATCTTGCAGCACAGTCAGTAGGGGACCTGGTGACAAAGCCCAGAGCTCCAGCCTTGGGCAAGATACCCTCTGGTTTTCAAGCAGTGTGCATTCCAGACAGAGGAAAGGAAGCGGTTGTGAACATGGAAGGGAGTCACTGACCAGCATACACATTGTTGGTGGTCGGGCCCAAATGCCCAGGTGCTGTCTAGGTGACCAGTGCAGGTGTGCCATCAGCTCT